GAGCAAATTCTGAATATTTTTAATTTGTGATTCTAACCTTGAAAACCAAAGGAAGATAGAAGTGAATTGTCTAAAGTTTTATAAAGTTTGAAAAATAAACCCATTAGTGAAAGGCTGTTCTCTAGCAGTGAGGCCACCTCATGTAGAATCAAAGTACCCTCTAGTGGGAAAGCTGCAAAATCAGAGAACTGTTTGAAAGTTAAAGCCAAAGATGAAATCGCAGTCTTTTGTTGTTCTTATTACCATGTGGCTAATACATCTTGTGATCAGTAATTTACCAATTCAAATATTATAATTGTTAAGGTTTTGGTAAAGAACAAAAAGCCCCACATGATTATCCACATATCACAAAGTAATGGTGAAGCAAGAAAAATTGTGCTTGTCCCTAAATCTCCATTTCCTTGGTGTAGAAACTGAGTCCAGTGTGCATGAAAGGGCTTCTCATGCTTGCTCTCCCCTTACGTGCAAGTGACAGAAACACCAGCCTGAGTCACGTCTAGTTCCTGCTCTTCAGGCCTCCCTCCCTGAGGCATTCCTGAGATGCAGTGGTGAATGCTGCTCCACTCAGGCAAATCCCTCACAGAATTATTTTAAACTTGATGTTTTATGGCATGTTGTCATGGGGATTGGAAATGGGTTTCTATAGCAATGAAAGGAACCTGAGTTGGTTGGACCTTGTTGGAAATTGCCTTAGGAGCTATTTAAAAATCCCAATTTCAGTAGAGCAAGGAGCTGATTGAAAGGTTCTTTTTAGTTCTCTGTTGGTTTGAGCAAGAGGTTAGCTGCTCCTGCTACAGGGACGGAGCACAGGACTCCCAGATCTGAGGGTTACTGTCTTGGGCCAGTTGAGGAGGGAGTGGGGCTCTGAATCCTGCAGAGCCCATCCTGGGGTTGTCACGGATAGGGGAATAAACATGAGTCATTGCAAACACTTCTCTGTTTGCCAGGACAGAGGCAAGGGCATTTCCCTCTACTGGGGAAGGCCCTGAACCCCTTTTCCCAAAGGTTTTTATTGAAAGGGTTAGCAGTGGGACTATGTGACAAGAATGCACAGGCGATCTCATTACATCAATATGTTAATATTTACAGAGAATAGATGATGTTTTGAAGAAAACAAATGTCAGGAACACACCAATTTACATGGGTCTGAGAGGAGACTAGTAAACATGACAGCATAAATATGAGAGCACCAAAGGGTATAGGGTTAGGGTTTGTGAATAATGTAAATTTCCTTCCCAGCATGAGCTGGTTATTTTAGCTTTGGAGGGAGAAACAAAGCATGCTCTAAAGAATTTACTTTTAGGCCTGCTTGGGAATGGCCAGATCCGGTTTAGGACTGTCTCTAGTATTGTCTCGAGCCTGAGCCAGGCAGGGGGAGGGAGCCACTAAGAGACAAAGAGACCTCTTTCAGATGGAATGAGGATTCTGGCCATGTCCAAGCCAAACCGAGGTGTGTGGGCCTTTTTGCCCTTTCTCTGTGTCCCCCAAGTTCTTGTCTACTGCCCATACTGGGTGTGTCTGTCTTAGGTCATCCCTGCTTGTGAGAGATCTTACCTGTCTTTGACTAACTGACCATCACAGGGCCAAGCAGGGTGATGTGAGGGAGGCAGGGGCTGTGCTCCTACCATGGGGACAGGTTTCGTCTCCCCAGAGGCTTGTTTTTCCAAGGCCTCCTTGATTATTTTCAGCCTTGGGGCCCTCTCATCTGTTGGTGGGGCTACAGTTCCTGAAACCAAACAGGGCGTTTCCCAACAAGCTCCTATCAGATAAGGTGAGGTGTGTGTGAGGCAAAAGGCAGGACAGTGGTTTAAGTATCACTGGGGTCTAGTTCTTGCACAGGACATGCTGTAAAATTAGGATGTTTTCTTGGTTCCTTCCTCTTCAAGATAAAGCCATACTTTTTCACTTCTGGATGGCTTGTTTTAGGGAGCCATTCTATGTAATAGCTGTTTCTAGTGACGTGGCAGAATGAAGCTCTAGTGTAGCAGAAAAATCAGACCTAGGTCATCTTGAGAAAGTGAATTCCTTTATCTGTAAAGGGATGATAATGATAAGCGTCTGTAAGTTTGGTAAATATTTGTGTTAGTGGATATTTAGCACATTAATTTTGTAAATATGTGTGTTAAGGGGTGTTAAGCACATAAATTTGGTAAATATTTGTATTAGTGGGTATTTAACACATAAGAGGTACTCAATAGTATTGTTTTTCAAGTGGCATAGATATATGAGATGGCAAACTCCCGTATTTACTCTGGCCCCCATATAGCTACGACTATCTCTTATTAGTAAGTTATTAGTAACAGGTGGAAATCTGCAAAAATAAAGGAAAATCTCTCTCTTCATTCCTTTGTCCTTCTCTCCCTCCGTGTGTGTGTGTGTGTGTATGTGTGTATATATATGCACACACATGTGCATATGTATATATATTTATGTGTATATATACATATAATTTATAATTTCTATATAATTTCTTATATATTTTTTATATTAAGACCTTAGATGAATCAACATTTTTTAAAAAAAGGATAAGCATTTAAATTATTTCCAGTCTTCTACTTAAAAAACAATTCTTCCCTTGCTCTCAGTTTTAGTTCTTACAAAGTGCCTAGTGTTTAGCCATTAATCAATAATTGAAGCCATGAGTAACAGTTACTAACGCCATGCTGTCTGCAGTTATTGGAATCAACTAGTCTTTCTTGATGCTCCACAATCACTCTTTTGAGTGTCACTACCAGAAATGCAGTAAATCAGAACTTCCTGAATATTCAACAGGAGAGCTTTTTAAATTAAATAAATCCCCAGGCATTCCATTCCAGAATGGGACTTCTGCTTCTTCCTTGTTATACTCTTTTTGCAATTAAGACTTTTCCCAGAGAGCTGTAAAAACTATTGTGCCAAGATTCAAAGTTTCTCATTCAGGAGGTTCCATTTTAGCCCTTAAAAGTTCCACAGCATCTCTGAACATTCCAGTAGGCTTGCTAGAATGGTTGTTCCTTTCATTAAAGGCTTTTAAAGTCTTTAAATCTTGGGATGGATAGACTTGGTTGAAAATAGACTGGAACATGAGACCTGGCTGATAGTTTTTGAATCTCTGCAATAATCATATTATCTTTTTCTTCTGCCAGCCATTTTATGGCCTTGTAAGAAAGATTCAGTGAAGGAAAGAAATGAAAAAACCCAACTGTGGTAGCAGTTAATGCAATAATTAAATGAGAACTGTATGTTTAAATTGCAGTTGGAATAGGAAATTAAATTATGCAAAAAGTGTTATAGATTTGGACATGTTTTCCTCCTGTTAATAAATCTATGCATAATTCATTTTTGTAGACTATGACAAAATAGCATGAATAACTTCATTTATAAAGCTGTGAATTTTGCTATTCTTAATTGGGTGATAGCTAAAACTATGTAAGTGCTTCTGAATGACTGAATATATAAATGTTTAAAGTGAGCAGTTATGATAGGTTTCAAGGCAGATTTGTTTATTTAATATTACTACATTTATTTTCAGATACTAGCATAGTACAAACGTTGCATAAAGATTGCACTCAATATGGTATGTTTGATATGACTTTAAGAAATAGATATTATCTCTTTGCTCTTAGAGAAAGCATTCTGATACTCATTGAATAAACAGTATATGACAGGCATGCTACCAGCTACTTTATAAACATTACCATTTCATTCTCATTATAGACATAAAGGCAAGTACATTACCCCACTTAACTGACGAGGAGACAGGTTCAAACAAGGTAGGAGTTAGCACAAGTTCCCATAGGTGCTTAGTGGTAGAGCAGTGGCTCTGAGCCAGGTATTTTGGGTTTCTAAAACATATTTTTTTCTATTATCTGTAGCTTCACACATTACACATTCAGGTAAGTTTAGCACCTGAGCATCTGAGAGCCATGGCTCTCTTATTAGGAGGGAGTTTCTTTTTGTAGCAATGCCAAGCAGTAGCTGAAATCAGCACAGCTGTTCTTGAGCACCTACAGTAGTAGCCACCACGGTAGTGGCTATTATGTGGATCCTCAGGAGCCATACTAGGGCCAGTGAGAGGAGCCGCTGAAAGTCAACCTCACCTTCCTGCTGAGGAGCCCACTTTGCAGGTGCAAGGTCTTCATTTCGAGTGGCATGCTTGGGACTAGAGGCAACCACCAAAGGTGTGATCATCAATGGTTGCCTTGCAGGAATGTGGACATGTGGTCTCGAATTGCTAGGGTCTACATTGCTCTGGCTTTGAAATTCATAGAGACCATTGCAGTCACCAACAGATGAGTAAATATTGGGAATTTACAGGCACAGAGTATGTCTGTTTGAATGAGATACCTATTCATTCAGAGTGACAATTAGTTAGGAAGGTACTTCTTGATTAACTAATCAAACTGAGAGCTGCACTATTCCTCATGCAATACATAGATGCCGATTCTTCAGAAAGCACAGGAGGGAGGGAATTGTTAAGGCAGAGGACCTGCTCTGCTTTTTGCAGGCTGTAACTTTGGACAAGGATTAATTTCTAAGCCTCCTTTCTTTGTTACAATGGGGTGATAATAGTACCTGTCTCCTTCCCTCTCCCTCCTAAGGAGAGGAGAGGGGCATGAAGATTGAGTGACATAATTTTATAGAATACCTGGTAATATTAACTCTTCAACAATTACTATTTTTCTCCCCCTTTCCCTTTTATCCCCTCCCTCTCCCCCTCACTCCTCCTTCTCTCCTCCTCCCCCTCCTTCTTCTTCTGCTTCCCCTTTCCCCTCCCCCTCTCTCACTTCCTCTTCTCCTCCTCCTTCTCCTCCTTCTTCTTCTCCCTCTCCTTCCTTCCTCTGCCACTAGGAAGAGTTAATTGTAGGTATTAAAATGAACAGAAGCAGAATCAACACAGTACAACCCACCTTTGATCCCTGACCTATTTATCTAATGCTTAGTTAATGACTTGTATTTGACTAGGAATCACTTTGGAAGTTCATTAGCCAATAATAAGGGTCTAATCTTTTGCCACTTAGGGAAATGATCGTCACTCTAAGTCAACCATAGGATCCAGCGACAACTCATCTCCTCAGCCCCCAAAGAGGAAAGGGAAAAAAGAGGACGTGAATTTAGAAAAACCCACAAAAGGGAAACAAAATCTAAAGTTAAAGAACTCACCACAAACAATTCCAAACAGTGGTAAGTTTGTTATGATTATATAGTTGTTATTGCTTATTAGTCTCTTAAGGCTGTGATACAATTTTAATGCTTAAGTAGGTCCATTTGCTTCCCGGGGCACACAGAAGATACTCCTAATTGTCATACATAAGAGTTTTCACAAAGAATATGTACGTATGAGAGATGGTGTTTTTCATGATTAATTTCTATTTGTAGTTAGAGGTTCTGCTACAAAGACACATGTTTTGAGGTAAAATATTTTTAGTGGTGGGGTCTTCTAAAACAAGGTAAATTTTACCATCCTGTGCTCCTACTGAAAGTGCTTGATCAACATTTTTACCAACTGCCACTGACAATGGTCTCTCTTATTTGTGTGTCTACAAGCCTTGTGTACATTCATTATAAATTACATTTTAGTCACAGATCACTTTCCAAAAAAAAACATGTTTTACTAGTTTTGCTGATATCCACAAGAATACTAAACACACCCAGAACTACCAATAAGCAATATATACAAAAATTAGTTATGTATCTTGCATTACCAGGTGAAAGCTGGTCTAAAATAGTTTTAAAAAAATTTGTATTAGTAGATTTCAGGAGAAAAGTGTGATAAGCTAAGCACATACGCCATTGGGATTGTGAATTTTACCACTAGTTTTTTGTGAAGACTGGCTTTTTTGGGTTTCGTTCCCAACGTGTTCCCAGTGGGGCGAGCACAGGGCAGAGGAGCGATGCTGTGGTCAGGGAGGATGGGCTGGGGCAGCCCAGGGCAGTGACTGCTTCTCCTTCCTCCTGGGATCCACTCACACACCCCACAGGAAGACAGCCCGGGGTGCCTAGGGAGAGGGTGGGTGGGATAAGGTTTCAGATGGATGGCCAGAGCTCCACTTTCTTGCCTGGAAACTCCAGCTCATCTCAGAGTTTATATGAAGATTCATGTTAGAATTACAGCTAAGGTGTGGGCTTCAAAATTGAAGAGACAGCATGAATTCATGCGCGGGTTTAGAGGATGCTGCACAGATGAGTAAAGAGTTGGAAGAAAAATGTGTTGAGATTAAGTTAAAAGAACAGGCTAAATGAAGGAGCTAATTGCACAGAGAACAAAGAGTGGAGGGGCTTTTAAATCTTCAAAGATTGAACTAATGGAGGTTAGCTGGAAGCTGAGAATTCTAGATTCTTGCCCTACTTCTGCTATTGACCCCTGAGCAAGTCACTTACCATTTTGGGACCCATTAGTCATCTGCAAAACGTGGGTTCATATTAAGATTTATCTGTAAAGTTTTGCTTATCTTTAAGTTTGTGAGATCCTTTTCAAAAACTTTTCATGAATATTTTTTATTACAGGCTTTTTTTTTTTAATTACTTATCTTCTGTTAGGCTCCTATTAAATAGTTCATGAAAATCCTAACTTCTACTTCCAGTATATTTTTAAAAGTCTTTAGATTTAGTAGTTGTCTCTCAGAAGAAAGAAAACCATCATCTTGTCAGATGTAGAAATTTGGGAACACAAGAGGCTGTATCAATATTTCCCTCTTGAACAAGAAGACAATCTTTATTGAAAAGTTGAATTATCAGTATTTTTGCTTTTGTGGAAATTCACAAATAGTTTTCAACAAAAATTTTATCTTTGGGGATGAAAATAACAAAAAATATGTTGAACATGGAAGCAAATCATATTCTAAAAGTGCTAAGAAAGACTAGAAGCCCTCAGCTATCTTTTCCTGTTTTTAGAGAACTCTGCAGTTTTTTTAGGTACTTGCTCATTTTAAATGTATATTTTACAATATAGTTTTATAAAGTGCAAATGATGAGTGTTTAAGTGCTGTATCTCATGGTTACACAGAACAACTCCTAATATCTTTCAAATGAAGGTTTTGGGACTGAATTTTTAATTAAACTTATTGGGGTGACATTGGTTAATAAGGTTATATAGGTTTCAAGTGTAGAGTTCTATGACACATGATTTGTTTATTGCATTGAATGCCCACCAACCAAACTCACATCATCTTATGTCACCATATATTTGGCTCCCTTTACCCTTTAGTACTTCTTATTCCCGTTCCCTCTGGTAACAACCATACTGTTGTCTCTGTCTCTGAGTTTCAGTTTATATACCACATATGACTGAAATCTTATGGTTCCTAGCTTTTTCTGACTGACTAATTTCACTTAGCATAATATTCTCAAGGCCCATCTATGTTGTCACAAATTTGTCAGTATTTCATCTTTTCTTACAGCTGACTAGTATCCCATAGTATATTTGTACAACATCTTTTTATTTTATCATCTGTCAAAGGACATTTTGGTTGTTTCCATGTCTTGGCAACTGTGAATAATGCTGCAGTGAATAGAGGGGTGCCTATATCTTTGTGAATAAATGTTCAAGTTTTACAGGTAAATACCCAGAGAGAGATTGCTGGGTCATATGGTGACTCTATTATTAATTTCTCGAAGGACCACAATATTGTTTTGCATAGTGGCTGTACCAGTGTACATCCCACCAGCAGTGAATGAGGGTTTCTTTCTCTCCACAACCTCTCCAACACTTGCTATTACTTGTCTTGTTGATAAAAGCCATTCTAACAGGTGCAAGGTGGTACCTAATTGTAGTTTTGATTTTTATTTTCCTAATAACTAGTGAAGGTGAGCATATTTTTATATATCTGTTGGCTATTTGTATGTCTTCTTTGAAGAAGTGTCTGTTGAGGTCCTCTGCTCATTTTTTTAATTGGATTTTTTTTTTTTTTTGGTGTTGAGTTGTATGCATTCTTTACATGCTTTGGATATTAACCCCTAGTTAGAGCTGTTGATTGAAAATATCATCTATTATTTAGTTGGTTGCCTTTTTGTTTTGCTGATGGTTACTTCTGCTGTGCAGAAGCTTTTTCAGTTTGATATAGTTTCATTCATTAATTTTTGTCTCTACTTCCTGTGTCTTGGGGGTCAAATTCATAAAATCTTAGTACCTGTGTTTTCTTTTCTATGTATTGGGTTGGCCAAAAAGTCGGTATGGTTTTTTCCATAAAATAAAAGATATATTTTTCATTTTCACCCATCACTTTATTGTTTTGGATATTTTGACTATGTCAGCTCTTGCTATTGTCTTCTTGTGGGTAGAGACCAGTAGGGCTGATAAAAATCTTCGAATGTGTAAGACAGCACCACAGGAAAGAATTAGTTGGCCCAAATGTCAGTAGCACCAAGATACTTTGCAAACCATTTTTGACAAATTTAATCAATCACAGCACCTTCTCCATATACTGCACAAATCTTTTATTGCATTTCAGTTGCATTTTTACCTTTCTTGAAATAATAAAGCATAATACATGAAAAATGTTGCATATTTTCTTCCATCTTTAATAGTAAAATGGCTGCACAAAATTCACCAATTTTGATAAGTTTTTAAAAAATATACATGATATGACAGCTGTCACAATATAATCTAACAAAATGAAGTTAAAGGACAACTAAGCACTACCAGAGCCACTGCACAGAAAAAATGTAATGGGTTTTTTGGCCAACCCAGTAATTTATTGTTTCAGATATTATGTTTAGATCTTTGATCCATTTTGAATTAATTTTTGTACATGGGGACTAAATGTAATCTAGTTTCATTTTTTGCATGTGGCTTTCAATTTTCCTAGCACTGTTTATTGAAGAGCCTTTCTTTTCTCATTGTGCGTTTGGTTCCTCAAAAATTATTTGCCCATATACATGTGGTTTTATTTCCAGGCTCTCAGTTCTGTTCCATTGGTCTGTGAGTCTATTTTTCTGCCAGTACCATTCTGCTTTCATTATTATTGATCTGTAGTATAATCTGAAGTCAGGTAGTGTGATACCTCTAGCTTTGCCAGGATTGATTTGGCTATTTTGGGTCTTTTGTGGTTTCATACAAACCTGATAAGTTTTTGATTCTGTTTATTTAAAAAATGACATTGGGATTTTGATAGGGATTGCAGTAAGTCTGTATATTGGTTTGGGTAAATGACCGTATTAATTATGTTTATTCTTCTAATCCATGAACACAGAATAGCTTTCCATTTCATTGTGTCTTTTTCAATTGTTTTAATAATGCTTTGTAGTTTTCAGTATATAGGTCCTTCACATCCTTTGTTAAGTTTATCCCTTGCTAGTCTATTCTTTTAGTTGCAAAAAGCTGTTTTTCTAAATTTCTTTTTCTGAAATTTCATTGTTACTGTATAGGAAGGTACTGGATTTTTGCACATTGATTTTGTATCCTGAAACTTTATTGTATTTGTTTATTGTTTCTAATAGTTTTCTGGTGGAGTCTTTAAGGTTTTCTTTATATAGAATCATGTCCTCTGCAAAAAGTGACACTTCTACTTCTTCATTCCTAATTTGGATGCCCTTTATTTCTTTCTCTTGTCTGATTGCTCTGACTAGGACTTCCAGAACTATGTTGAATAAGAGTGATGAGAGTGAACATTCTTGTCTTGTTCCTGTTTTAGAGGAAAAGCTTTCAGTTTTCTACCACTGAGTATGATATTAGCTGAGGGTTTGTTATATATAGCCTTTATTATGTTAAGGTACTTTCTTTCTATACCCATGTTATTATGTTTTAAATTATAAATGGATGCTGTATCTTATTAAATGCTTTTTCTGCATCTATTGATAAGATGATATGCATTTTACCCTTGATTTTCTTAATATGCTGTATTACATTGATTGATTTGCTTATGTTGAACCACCCTTTTGCCTCTGAATGGACCCCACTTGATCATGATGTATTATTTTTTAAATGTGTTGTTGTATTTGATTTGCTAGTATTTTGTTTAGGAGTTTTACATCTGTATTCATCAGAGATATGGGTCTGTAGTTTTCTTTTTGTGTCTTATCCTTCCAGGTTTGGGTATCAGAGTTATGTTGGCCTCATAAAATGTATTAGGAAGTATTACCTCTTCAATTATTTTTGGAAGAGTCTAAGAAAGATAGCTATCAAATCTCCTTTCAATGTTTGGTAGAATTCACTAGTGAAGACATCTGGTCCTGGAATTTTATTT